CTCAACCTGAAGATTGCTTTTGGCATATCTCAGTAGCAAGAACCTCACAGAAGTTTATTTCATTTACAGGAGGAGTTTTACTCAGAGTTCTTCTTCCTTTTTATTTGTAGTTTTGGCTTGAAGAGGGTTTAAGATCCTGCTTTGAGATCTAGATTCCAAAAGCAGTGTGAACATGCAGTGAAACTAAACCAAATCCAGAGATCTTCATTTGGCATCTCAGTCATTTGAAACTGAGAAGGGAAGAGGGCAGAGCTAGGAGACAGACAAAGGAAGCATGTATCTCTGAACGAAGTAGCTGTGATTCCTCTAAGCTGCCAAGGGAAATTGAGTTTGTAATTCTTATTACAGGTGATAGGAATAGGGCATCCAAATTGTTTAGCTAACTTGAAAAATTCTCATTCATTGTTTCAGTGATTCTCCAGCAATCAGGCCCTTTGCCTTTTCCAAAGATGTTCCTTTAACTCCTCCAGGTGCAATTAACTTTTAAAATTACTGGTTGAAAGTTTTTTTAGTTCTTCTTTCCCAATTCTTCTTAGCACAAAGAGCAATCACCTAGGATACTGAAACGAGGTCAGAAAGCATGTATACAGTGTTTTCCCACATGTTGTCTTATGGCAAAACTACAGATCAGCTGCAGCAGACTGCGATTTCTAAGATACTGCTGCTGTGCTGGTTCTTTTATTTGAGAAGACCAGAGTTACAGTTCAAGGAGGAGCGACAGCCATGTCAAGCCACATTGTGAGCTGAGAGGATGGGAATGGACAGAGCACTTGTCATGCTAGCCCCAGGTAGACTGGGATTGCTCAGGAGAAAAAGATAATTAGCAAACCGGCCAGAATAGGCTTCCCCTTCCTCACTTCTTGCTGGATGTTTCTGCTGGGGATGGAGGTGGAACAGACTGTAGCTTATTTACACAAATCTTACCCTCTTTCAAGAAAAATGGGTAAGGATTGTCCATTGTATTACTGGCTAATGGACCCTTTTTTCACAGGATGCAGTAGTGGATGAGGCAAAATAACTATATGACCGCAGTTTCTTGGCTGTCTTTGCTAGAAGCTGCTGTTGTCCTTGGGCAGCCAGAAGCAAGCAGCTGGATTTTCAGCCAATGTTTTGTCTTTTTATGAGTTAAATGTGGGCTTCTGGCATTCACACATCCTGAAATTTTTTGGGGAAAAGTCCAATATCTAAAACAGATATCTAGGCATGGTCTAGGAAAGTCTATTTCTACGTATCTTTGATGTTATTCAGTCACAACATGGCCTACATTCCAAAGTTCCTCCACACCATTTTTTTCTTCTATCACAAGGTTTAGATAAGACTTTCCATTAAATATTAACACTGACTTCGTACTGTGTCTCACATGCCTTAACTACAATTTGTGGTGCTGAGGGTGTAATGTGGCTTTCTTTCTTAATTTACTTTACGGTGGTATAATTGTTACCATTATAGGTGATGCAACACCATGACGCAAGAAATAAGGGAAAAAAGATAGCTACCATTCATGTAAATGAAGGAAACCTTGAATAGCACTGTGACAATGACGTCAACTTAATTAAAAAAAAAGTTTAGTTAAAAAAAATACCTAGTGACATCAGCTTGTATCAACAGTTCTCTAGGAGCTCAGAGTCTCCTGATTTCAATTGTATCTTGTTGGCACTGGAAGCATGTGTGAATAGTGAGGGAGGGGGGAACAGAAGGAGGAAAAGCAGTCTCCCAGTCTGAATCTAACTGAGCTGATGTGTGGACAAAGCCTTTCTGAAAAGAATGCTGCCAAGTTAGTAAGAAAGAAAGAAGGGAGAAAAAAAGAGAACCAGCTCAAAACCTAAAAATAAGGCTGAGGTGGGGCACTGCTTGGTCTTAATCCATCCTTATATCATTGCAAACTCTTCTCTTAATACTCTCCTGCAGTGTCCTCTTTAACTCACTTGTGGGAGTGCTTACACTTGTACGTCCGTCCATTATGAAAGAGGACTACCGGTCTGTGGAAGTGGACTTCAAAACATATTTCTGGGAGGCTCAGCACTGCTCTTACAGGAATTATTGACAATGATACTGTGGTACCTGCTTTCTCAAGTCACTCTGCTGGTTTTGACATTTTCAGTTTTCTCCTTTTCTGCAGAACTATTGCAGCTCCTCAGAGTCTTGTTGCACTGACTGCCAAGTAAGTTCAGGCATGGCCTTGAGCCAGTGTGGGGAGCAGCCAGCATACAAGTCAGAGGTAGGGGAAAAACCTTCATTCCCTCTTTTAGTGGCGGGTATGCACTGTCCACCTGTTTCTGAATATATGGTCGGTGAGCCATGTGGGTCAGATGCCTCCTCACAGCCCAGCCCTTTTTCTCCTCTGCAGCAAGATAAACTGTGGTGTCTCCTTGATCTCTAGGAGAGAAGGAGAAGTGACTCCTTCAAGAGGCAGGGTAGGCATTCAGCTACTCTGTTCTTAAAAGAATTGCCAAAAAGGTGCCTGTCTAGGTCTGACCCTGACACTGTATTCCTTATTCACCCAAAACAGCCACAGCGAGCGTGTGTCCCATGAATACATATAAAGAAGACTATGTGGAGCAAGATAAAAGCTTGTCTCTGAGTCTTGCTGTTCTCACTTCTGTTAAGAGATGCCATATGCCTTGCCAAGTCCATAGTGAAATAAGTAGGCTGCAAAAAGTAGAACATTGCTAGAGGCAGGGAGCAAACACTGATTCTTAAAAACCGAATACTGACTGAACTCAAGGCGATACACAAAACGCTGACAGCTCTGCAAGGTGGTGCTCAGCAAGAGCAAGCAGTGATTTTCATCACCAGCACACATCTCACGTAGGTAACTAAGCACATTACTGCTCAGAAATCCTTGCAGTGCACTAACAATGCAATCACTTTTTAGAGTCATTCTCAGGGAATAGGGGAATTCAGCAATTCATAATTAATCCTAAAAGCACATTTTTTTCTAGGGTTTTTTTTTGAGAATTTTTTTTTTTTTAATTGTGTCATTTAATGTGAAGCAATCAGCTGCAACTGTCTAGAATTTAGGAGAATTTTTGCTTCTAACATTGATTTTAACATTTAACATGAAAATGACTGCAGGGGCAAATGATTACTAGCTGAAAAAATGACAATTACAAGGGAAAGGCACATGCAAATGTCTTCAATGGGCAGTTCAGAAACACTTTGTTTTATCCCCATTTGTTTCTTTAACTGCCCACATTAAGGTACAGTAGAGTTTTGGACTTCAGTGCGGTGGTTATTATATCAGCAAAAATAATTTCCCTGGTGTTAGAATTTAGTCAGGGGTTATTCCATTTTATTAATGTTCTATAAACTGTCATAGAACAAAGAGGATTAGTCTCAAGCATCTCCATAAATCTCCAACTATCTAGTTCAGAGCTTAAAAAAAAGGAGGCAAGAAAACCCAACTCTAAACTCAAAACCAACAAAAGTGAAAAAAATTCTAACAACCCTTGCATCCTCCTTAGTTTGGTGACCTAAAACGGAGCAATGATACAACAAAAAATCAATCACTAAGAAAAGAGATTCTCAAAACTGCCTAGCCTCGAGTCCTACAGCTGTGTTAGGGGTATACCTGGGGAGTGCAGCTGGATTTTACAACTTTTGGCACATTTCCCTTGATAGGAGTGGGACATTTTTATCCTGCTTAGAAAATTTCTGCCAAAGAATGTGGATACTAATTTTAGAAGCACCTGGATCCCATTATAGGTCAGCCTGACTTTGGTTTCAAAGTGCTGAAATCTAATTTTAAGATTGGACACAGGCTCTTAAATCACGTTAATCTGAATGTTCTGGCTTATAATATTTTCATATTCATTTTGGCTAAACATGTACATAGTCATTATTATCCTTACTTCAGGTTATGCCAATCATTTACAAATTGTATTTGTTCTCAACCACTTAGCAACAAACCTATGGCTCATAATTGCTGGAAAACTGAGAGGTGGTTGAACAACTCTGTATCTTCTCATTGCTGAGAATTTCAAAATAAGAGCAGTGGTATCAACGATAAAGAAGAATAAAGTTTCAGATCTGAGCCTTCTGAGGATTTGTTTAGAGGCATAAAACAAAAAAGATTACTTGTACTGAACTAACGTTCCACTTCTGTCTTCTCTCCATTAAAATAGCTTCCTAAAACTTGGAAAAACTTGCCCCTCTTGCTCTAAGATACTGCCCCTGAAAGAAACATAACCACATAGTTATTAAAATGGCATCAAGAATAGCTAAGTAATCTGTTCTTGGAAATTAGCTTTGCTTTTATGTGTTATCTACAAATATACAAGATGAGAATGACAGTGGCTAGAGGTTCATTATATCTGGCAGTATGTTAGCCTTTTTGAGGCTGTCATGTTTTAAACATTACTTTAGTATTATAATCCCCATATTATGCATGGACAACCGTAGTTTACTTGGCATTGGAGAAGAGTTCATTCCTAGTAGCAGAGCTTTTGTATGTTTTAATTCACTCATATAAATAGCAAGATGACCATATTTCCCAAGGAGTATGCAGAATGTATTACGTTCTTTCTTTTTGCCCAGTACACATTAACATTTTAACAGTAGCTTTGAAATTAAAATCAGGGCTAACAAAAACAGCTCTCTCTTTTCAAGGTAGAACTCAACTCCTCTATGCCAGCAATGTCTAGTGGGTTGCCTTCCCTGGGTGAGGTCCAGGGCTATGTTACAGTAAACTGGTCCAGTGTGATATCACAGTTATAAAAAATATTCCATTCTGTATCAAAACTAGGCACATGCCTTATATTTATATGAAGAGAAGATCAACAGAGCTGAGCGTTTTTGCTCTCAACTATTCATCTCTGGCCTTCTACATGAGGAGAAAAATATCTTATGTTATTTCTAATTGGTAACTACAAGAGTCTAATTTGGGTTAGATGGTAGTTAAAAGGAGGGTGACATCACACTTGGGTCAGTATTGGTGGATATCTAAAAGCACAACCTCTCATTTGTATTGCTTTAAAATGTACACAGTATAGATGTAGATTAAAAAAAACTACCAATTTTTTGTGGTGTTGAACCAACTAGAAGGGATGATGCAAGGTTTTACCAAATGAGATCTATAGATACAAATTTCACTGTAGAGTATGACTTAGACAAATGTGTCTTTTTCTTTAGGTATGTAAATCCTACACTGTAGGCTTTTTTTTTTTTTCTTTTTGTAGTGATAGAAAATGTTGAACAATTGTCCATGAGCATGAGCCAGCAGTTCATTGCTGATATCCCCAGAATGCCAATATTTGCAATGCAAACAGTTAGTACAATTTACCAGTTCTATGAAAGGCCCTGACATATCTGCCTCAAGGTCTGGAGGCTCTGCTGTATAACCACAAATAGTCTTTCCATTTCCATGTAACCTTTTGATACAGTGACAGCTGCATTAAGCTGCTTCTGCCTAGCAATTCCACATGCCAGGCTGGTTTAATTGGTTTTAATGCCACAGAAAAAGCACTGCTAGCAGAATACCATCAAATCATTTTCATATTGAACCTTCGTGGTCCAGCAACCTCCCCTTCAACCACAGCACCATTGTTTTTGCGAGGGACATATTCAAGGTCAATGCTGGTTTTGTGTTTGCCTTTCCCTCGGCTCCACACAAAAAGAAGGAGGAAACAAAATAAAACCACTCCAAGGAATGTGAAACAGCCCATAGCTGTGGACACCAATATTGTCTTAAGGTCCAGAGAGAAGGTGTTCGCATTAGTTCCATTGGAACTTGTGTCGTTGGAGTCTGTCATATACATAGGGGTCCTGTTGGCGTAAAGGAAACGGTCTGAAGTAAACCCCTTTACCGTAAGGGAGGCCGAGTAAGTGTCGTTCCCAGCTGCGTTACTTGCAATACAAACATAGATCCCAGTGTCCTGGTCTTGAGCAAACCGGATCTCCAGGGTGCCATCTCCCAGCACTGTGGCTCTTCCGTTTGATTTAGTTGTGATCAGCCTCCGGCGTGGGGTAACCCAGGATATGGTAGGCTGCGGGTCCCCGTCAGCATTGCACACCAACTGCACCGTCTGCCCTTCCTCCACTACCAGGTATTGCAACTTCTTGTCTTGTATCTTGGGCTTCTTACAGGTGAAGTAAAAGGAAAGAGCTGTGCTGTGAAAGTCTTTGAATGACCTCTCTTTGACACTGTCTGGGCCAGCACACATTGGTGGCTGGCCTCCAAACTGCAAAGTGGGTTGCCTCTGTAAAATCCAAAGAAGACGGCAGTCACAGGCCAGAGGATTGTTGTTAATGCAGAGGACCTCAAGGCTTTTGGGGGAATGGAATACATTCTCTTCTAGGGTTTCTAGCAGGTTTTGGGACACATTAAGCACGCGTAAGAATTGGAGCCCTTGGAAAGCGTGTGGTTCAATGGTACGTAGCTGGGCCCCCACCATGTGGAGTTCCTGCAGGCGCACTAAATCTGAAAGCATGCCTGCTTCAATGGTGCTGATGGGGTTGTAAGAGAGGTTTAGATGTGTCAGGTAAACCAGATGTTTAAAAGCAGAGTAAGGTACTGCAGACAGGTTGGTGTTGGTGATGGAGAGAGAAGTAAGGTTGAGGCCATACAGACTGTTGGCAGGCAGCATGTCCAGGAGAGGCCAGGCATCTATCTCTAGGTCTTTCAGGCGAAACAGTCTTTTAAAGGCATATGCAGGCAAAGCGTTAATGTTGAGCTGTTTCAGATGCAGACTGATGAGGTTGTGGAGGTGAGAAAGAGCTTCTGTTGGTACAGCTGTGAGGTTGCATCTCTCCAGGGTGAGCTGCTCCAGGCCAAGCAGTCCGCTAAAGGCCCTGTGTGATATATAAACCAAATCATTGTCCCCAACTTCCAGGGATTTTAGGTTATGCAGATCTTGGAACATGTAGTCCAGCAAAATGACAATCTTGTTTTCACTTATATCAAGCTTTGTTAAGTTTGACAACCCAGTGAACACCCCAAGGGGAACCAGCTTCAGACGGTTTCCTTTCAGCCTCAGGGAGCGCAAGTTGAAGAGGTTGTTAAAGGCTCCAGGCTCCACATTGGCGACTATATTGTCACTGAGGTCGATCTCCTCCAGCAAAGGGTATGATGTGAACTCCTCAGGGTTGACGCTCTTACAAGATTTTGGTCTCAATGGGAATGCCCTCTGGGATGGACATCAGACGCCTTCGGTGACAGCTGACGGACTTGTTCTGTGCTGAGCATTCACAGCGGGCCGGGCAGCCTATGGTGGGGCCCATGAAGACTAGCAGCACAGCCAGACCCAGGAACGGCTGCCAGCATGATACAGCTGTGTGACGCATGACTCCACTGATCCGGTCTAACCCTCCGTCACGGGCCTGTGGGGATGAAGATGGAAAAAGGGACAAGTTAAGTCTGCAGCAAAAGGAGTTTTCGGCCAATTTTACAGCACCATTTCAAAGAAGGCAGATGTGTTTTCATTTGAAACAAACAATAAAACCTATGGTGAATGGCAAGAGCAACAAAAAAACAGATTTTCCTTGTTGAAGGATCTGTTTATCCAACATTTCCCCTCCAGACATCAGAGGAGACAAAACAACTTTTTCTACTGCAAACAGTAAAGGAGGTTAGGTTTCATTCTCTTCTGACTCCCAGTGGATCTCCTCAAGACAGTGCTGTAACTAATGCAGAGATAAACACCATACACTCTGCAAATAGGGCTAATCATGTTTGTGGTAAGTTTACAGTATTGGGCCTCTGTGAGGTGATATGAAACTAGGCTTTTGCCTTTCCTATTCACGTCAGTGTTTTAAGGCAAACCTTAATGATGTATTATCCTCAAGAAAAGGAGCTCCTTGACAATGAAAAGATTCCTTTTAACATCTATTGCATACATTACAGCTATAAATAGATGGAACTTGTTCGCACATGCACATACACAATGGCTCAGATGAGGAAGGAAGAACTGGTGCACGTCTGATTAGAATTTGTATTAAGAACAAATTGATTCTTTGCTTTTACTGCACAGAGAGATTTTATGTGATTTTTAGAACCAAAGACCTGAGAAGGGTTTACAGAATACATCTCTGTACTTCCAAGACATGTAAACTATCTCTGAGGGAGAGAGAAATGAGATAAGATGAGCTGGCTGTGTTTAAGCAGCACAATGTCCAAAGAAATGCAACAGATTCTGTGGAAATCACAGTTAGTAAGAGATTTATTCATTCCTGCCTTCAGGTTAAAACTGAGGATAGTAGAAGACAAGATAACCTCTATTAAATTAACTACCCTTCTCCAAAGGCTGTACTTTACAGGTTTAGTCACCAAAGGCAAGAGACTTTTTCAAGGGTAGCTACTAAATGAAGACACTCAATAACCCATTTCAAAAGAAGGGAAAAAAAAAAAGATTAACGTAGGTGCTCATCAAAGGAGGGTGTGTCTGAGACACTTGCAGAGCAAGGACACTGCAAGCAAGGACTATGGAAGTGCCTTAACCCTGTGGTACAGTCAACTTGATGAGGCCAAGTGGTAGTATTGGGAGTCAGGCTTCATAATATTAATAAACCTTACAAGGTGCCTCAGGCCTTGTGCGGCTTTTTCCGGCTTGGTTAATTTGGGCTTCATTTTAGTTGTACTGGTAAAATTATTTAAGTAACTCCTGCCTGTAACTTCCTCTCAGGTCTGGACAGATGGCTATTGCCCAGCTGGTCCTACCCATAATGACAAAATTACCCAGTGGCCAGGCATTCACTGCCTGATCTGCACCTTTGGGCTTTGAGAATCATCTGGCTAGTGCTTGAGAAGTTTTCAACCTGAGTTTGAGTCAGGTTTTGTTTGTCTGTGCGCAGTCATGTGGATTGTATCATAAAAGAAATCCTCCCATACACAGAGAAGGATTCAGAGATTTAAACAAATATGGTATAACTAAACTTAAGATCCTATCAGACAGTTATTTTAGCAAATAAGCTGTTTGAAGCACATAAAAATAATATTGAGTAAACCCCAGACTGATGAAGAAGAAACTCCCACAAGTAACTCTGCTGCAACAACACCGTACTCCCCTGGCAAACAACTTGGGATGTGATAACTCACCAAATCATCCTGCCTGAGAGAGGAGGTTTGCCCTTTCAGGCTGTGGATGATCAGAAGGGTGGGGATTCAACATGCAAGAGAAAGAGCAGATACTTGGATCTACAGATCTTACTGTATCATTAACAATCCTCAACAGAAACAGCGGTTTGGATTGTAAGCATTGACATTATTGTAACGGGACTGAGTAATAAACAGCTGTTATGCTTTGACTGTTAAAATCTTAATTAGGTGAGCAATAAATTCTCTTGGAGCTGCACATATATTGTGTTCTTTGACTGACTGCCAATGAATGGTACACATATTTCTCCTCTCATAACTGTGGAAGAATCTCAGTCTTGACTGATGTGGCTTCTTCTTTCCACTTTGACACTTCTGTGCAGAGACTAATAATATGAGGAAAATTGCATGCTGGTTTTGCGATGTAGTCTGGGGACCTGGATGAAGACTATTCTTTATTACGCTACCTATAAAAGCACATTTCAACTTTGTCCTAGAAGGACAACCTGCTGAGATTCATTTAGTTTCCCCCTTAAGTTGTAGTCTTGCAAGTAACTGTTGCTAGTTACGTCCAGCTGTCACAAAGGTTTTCAGGGATAAACTTCACTTCGTTAGGCGCTAAGTTAAAATTGGAAATCTATAGCAGTCTGAGAGCTAGGTGTTTGCAATGAATTCAGATCAAAGGGGCTTCCGGGTGCTCTGATCATCACTTTCAGAGGTCAGTCTGTGAGGTTAGCGCTTTCATACTGATACTTCTAGCTCTCAGGGAATTAATTTCCTACCTTATTCACCTAATGAATGAAGCACAAAGTAAACAGGTTCGGTGGAAGACAAGCACCCTTGCAGTGTTCATTTTAGGTAGCAAAAATATGAAATGCTTTTTGCAGCTATCCAAGCCACCTAGTAACTAAAAGTTCTGAGAAGCATAAGGTAGAAGATGGACAGTACAAAAGGTGATAAAAGAGTTTTTTGGCTGTGCCTGGAATAAAGAAAAGTAATGTTAATAAAGCACTTCAAACATTAACATCTGCCTTCTGCAAGAGCATGCGCACACAGATGAAGAATGGATATGCATTTATCTATAAAGGTGTGTGCATATGTGTGTGTATGCACTTGCAGGCAAGCAAGATTCAGAACTGAGATTTAAGCTGGAATAAATTACACATCAATAAGGAAAAATAATAAATTATATTAAATCACAAGTGAGAAAAACAAAGATTACTTGGATCAATAAGTACAGGTTAGAAGAAAACAAAAATTAAATGGATTATTTCAATTTACATTGACCCAATCTCTGTGACTACACCCTTAGCTTTGAACTGCTTTGTGTAAAAATTACTTTATCTTCATTATGCAAAAAATGTAACCTTACTTCATGGTACAAATAATGAACGAAAGGTAGGAAGGTCTAACAAAAGAAATATGGGCAACTTAAGGATTTCTGACTCTTTGCAGGACAAGGTTGTAGAAGCCTACAGTGAAATTTGATCAGGTATTACATATGGTCCAGTTTGAATTTAACAAATGTGAAGCGGTATTTCCAGGACATGACAGGTAACATCACTAGGAGGGCCTCCCTTGGGCCTTCAGTGTGAGAACATTTTGAAAGGATACATATTTACCCCTAATTAAGTGTTAGTGTGATCACCATTGCTTACTATTGTACATCCATTAAACAATAATGCTACTGTTTAAAAATCTGAATGAAACGATACCATTAAAAGATATTTTTCACTGCAAGATGATTTCTTGCAGTGAAAAATGATTTCCCACATTTCTTTAGACTTGTGGGATGTTAATTAATTGGCAGCTCATTGGCACTGTGCTGAACTATCAGTGTCACTGTTCAAAATGACATCTTTCTTTCCTGCTTAAAAAACCAGCACCTACATACTTTATCCTTTGCCAGCATAGGAATTCTCTCTAAACATCTGCAGGATTACCTCATTATCCTTCTTTGCATCCCTCTGTACAACTTTTCTTCACTGTGATACATACAAGAAAGTAAAGTGCATGCTTGCAAGTATACATATACACATACATGTAAGATAAAAGTGTAATCTTTTTGTTTTGTGATTGTACTATGCCTTGCACTGTGGAGCACTCCTTTAAAATTATAGCCTGTTAGCACAAAAATTCTAATAAAATAACAAGTAATTATGAACTGCAGTTTTTTATAGGCTTGAATGCAAATGAGAACATGTAAAATTGTTTTCCCGACCTTTCCGGGGTATTTATCACACTTTGATACACTCTGGGAAATGAAATATATCAAGGAATTCTTTATTAAAAAATCAAAATTAACTAACTACCTGTTTTTGTCTTTCTCTGGTTCTGTTTCTTAAGTCCAAAGTCAAGAGTCAAGTTACTGTTGGCTGATACTCTATTTCAACAAGGGCCTCAATCAAAGTTCAGCAATGCAATTAAAACACCTCGTTAAAGTTATTAGTTAATGTGATCTCACCCAAACAGCCATCTCTACCACTTTGAAATGCAAATAATTTTGCACAAATTTCTGAGCTTTGAATCTACCCATAAATGCTTTACAAGAATGTATATGTATCACTACCCTGTAGCTTTTAAATTGAAGTATAATAAAAAATAAATACAAAGCAACCAGATGCTCCCACAGAATACTGTGCAATTCTGAATATCATAGATAGGAATGTGTCAAGCCATGCAAATGCGCTATATATTGTATCACTTCTCCTTCTCCCTCAGACTGATTTTAAATACTTTATAGCTAAAAGCTAGAGTGCGTTTGACCAGGCTGCTTTTCTTGTTCAATCTGATGCTCCAGTACTGAGTGGGACCAGGTTTTAGCCAGAGAAGGTGAGAGTCAGAAGATCTGTTTCTATCATTAGCTGCATGTTTCATGCTTGAACTTGGTAGATTTGATCTCACCTTTCCCTCCCCTTCTCCCAGCCTTTCAGACAATTAAAAAAGACAATGGATCATATCAGAGATGATAATTTTGCTTCATGTTGAGGTCCCTTAATACTTTCTCTTTTAAGAGTTCCTTTTCAAAAACATAACTGTACTAAATAAACCTTCTAGGAAAAAGACTTGCATGACAGCTATCTGACTCGTACTGATTATTCAACTAAATGCTACCAGCTAATCCTGAGAACCAGGTGAAGTCCCTATTTTGAAGATATTTTAAACTGTATCTGTCCTTCACATTGCTCAAGGCATGAGGCATCAAGATGGATTTTTTATGAGCCTGTGCTCAGGGAAAGTAAATTGTTCTTCC